CCTTCCTTCCTTCCTTAGTTCTTTCCTATCTCCCTTTCCTCCTCCCTTCCTACCTCTATATCTCTCCCTCCCTCCCTTCCTCCTTTCCTTCCTTCCTTCCTTAGTTCTTTCCTATCTCCCTTTCCTCCTCCCTTCCTACCTCTATATCTCTCCCTCCCTCCCTTCCTCCTTTCCTTCCTTCCTTCCTTAGTTCTTTCCTATCTCCCTTTCCTCCTCCCTTCCTACCTCTATATCTCTCCCTCCCTCCCTTCCTCCTTTCCTTCCTTCCTTCCTTAGTTCTTTCCTATCTCCCTTTCCCCCTCCCTTCCTACCTCTATATCTCTCCCTCCCTTCCTCCTTTCCTTTCTTAGTTCTTTCCTATCTCCCTTTCCCCCCTTCCTTCCTACCTCTATATCTCTCTCTTTCTTTTCTTTCCTTCTTTCCTTCCTTCCTTCACATCTCCCTTTCCCCCTTCCTTCTACTGTTATATCCCTCCCTCCCTTCCTCCCTCCCTTCCTTAGCTCTTTCCTATCTTCCTTTTCCCCCTTCTAAGTGGGTTGCACCCAATTTTGTGCCCTTAAGTAAATCACTGTCCCAACCTTCTTTTGAGTGCTTGTTTTTAATACAGTTGCCAAGCACCTGAATTTTCATCCCATAACACGGGGATGCTGATGATGTGATAGTCGTAAGTGCGGGGACCAAACATGTCCCCCTTTTTTTCAATGCATCTTTGAATAGTCACTAAACAAATGGCCATAAGTTGAGAATTTCCTGTGGTCTAGAGTCAAAAAAAATAATAATCAGAAGGAATCAAGAAGCAGGTTTTTTTTTCATGTAACTCATTTGGTTAAAACCCATCAGTTTTGGCGAGGCGCAAAGCATACCTTTTTTCTCCTTTTCATTTTTTAATTGTCCTTTTTATTAGTAAAAAAATATAAAATTATATTAGATATAGTATATATAATATAAAATGCAAAAATTCCAAAACAAATAACAGGAATAAACAGGGAGGGAAAAGTGTAGAAAAGAAAGGAAAAAGAAATAAAAGG